ATCTATCTATCTATCTATCTATCTATCTATCTATCTATCTATCTATCATCTATATATTATCTGCATATCACCAATAATCTATCCTCACATCTTGCATTTTCTATTTTTTATCTATTACAAACATTTAACAAGTAACCAGATCCTATGCTTATAACTTTAGATTTTTCTATTTATTTTCTATAACTAGACCTAAAACCTAAGTGACTAGGAAAGGAGATCAGGTGATACAGGAATCAAGAGGCAGAGCTAAGACTCTGGTTTTGACGTCTCTGCTTTTAACCAGAGTCTAAACTGCTTTAAACACTTTTAAGAGAGAAAGGTCCAGTTTCATGTAACTAATTTTTCTTTGTATGTAATTAGAAAGATTTGTTCAGGTCTACGGATGTGGGAAAGAATAAACAAGGGAAGAAATATTCCTTGATTTTATCTACTATGAGTTAAGCATGGGTTAATTATTTTCATACAAGTTCATGGCCTATTTAGTATACTATATTAAGCCATCCTATGTTATCCCAATTTACTATTTAGAACACTGAGGTTCAAGACTTTTAAATAATCTGTCATGAACTCAACAGTGAAAGAAGAAATAGCCAGAGCGGAGTGCTGCCTCTATAATATAGGACAAAGACTATGAATCAAATTACAGATAACAGATCATGAGATATCATTCTTCTATTGACCCTAACCAAGAACTATTGGCCTATAAAGTGACCCAGAATCAAGATTTCTGCACAGTGGATAGATAGAAAAGTTTTACTTGCTATCCCAGTTCCTTGGATGAGAATGTAATCCAGTCTTTGCCTCCTACCTTGATAAATATTGTCCAGAAGTCAGATTTGTGGTTTTCACATCCATGCAGTTCATCGTGCTGGGAAGGAGAGCGAGTTCTGGCTGGATCATGGTGGCTGTGGCTACAGCTCTTGCAACCAACTCCATGGCATCCTGAACGTAGTACTCAAAGATGGACTGTGTTGTTTTTCCATGAGCAATGAGCCCTAAAGGCAGGCCTTCTGTCCTTAGTTCCTCCACATTCTGGGAGTCTCCTAGAACCCAGTGGAGCTCAGGAGGTGATAGACCAAACTGGGTGGAAATTTCAAAAATCTGCCGGATGCTCTCCATGTCGCAACCAAACATGACCATGGTGGGTGTGCTGTTTTTAATGCTCTCCAGTTGGAGTTGCAGGAAACTTAGGAGGTCCTTGGTGGAGGACAGGTTAGCAGTGATGTTGATGATAGATCCGAGGTGGAACTTGGAGTTCTTCTCGGTAAGGAGGAGGAACTCGGTGATATTCCAGTCTTCCTGGCATAGCAACAAGCTAAAATTGTACCAGTTGTTCATGGCCAGGATTGAGACAGTGACATCAGCATCAGAACTTAATGAATTTTCTAAACTCAGTTGTAGGTGCAGGGGATTCTGTATTTAAAGATAATGAAAAAGAAGAATTAGAAAGTATTGCCCAAAGACCATAACAGGGTACTTCTGTTTTTCGCTGAGCCTAAAGTTATTATTATTTTCCCCTGTGATATTTCCCCTGAGATAAAATTCTATTAGAAAAAACAATATTCTTTTTCTATTGAACAATCAACTCTTTATCCCATTTCTTGATGTACAAGAGTACCAGAGAGCAGATAGCTCTTGGTGCAAATGTGAGAAGTGATGTAATCATATATTCGGTTATAGATTCCTATGGAGGTTTTCTTCCTTACAATTAGTCCCCCTAAGGCATCATATTTCTTATACCATGTTTAATGACTCATTTGTTCGATTGTCCATTCAGAAGAAATAATTGAAAGAAATTGCCTTGCTTTCTGTGAAACCAGTATCATAGACATCTTCCACAGTGCAATTCTTGTCTAAGAAAATAGAGAAGATGAATAGGTCTCTGGGTCCTTGGGCAAGGATCTTCTAAAATACACAAAATATTTTAGGGTACAGACCTAAAATATTTATTTATGATTTTTATAAACAATGATTTAAATCATTGTTAAGTGTATGGGTCCAGTATTAAGACCTGATTACATTTCTATGTGCCTTGGTCTTGAACTCTTGCTCTCAAAAATGTGCCACTGAATGTATTTGTGAAACTTAAATAATTATTTCATCTACCCATGGAACTTGTCAGCACAATTAAGGAAGAGTTTATTAATTTAGCAGTCACAAATTGTAAATTACATAGTTGAAGGGTAGCCTTGCAACGTTAATACATTTATCATTTATTCTTCCCAACAGCAGACACTTGACACATTTACCCTTTAACAACGCTTTCCTGAGTCTAGAAAAAAGCTTTATAAACGCTGGCTGCAAAACAAATATCGATCAAATTGAATTAACTATCTTCCAGTTGGGAACTATAGGACTGTCTGTGAGAATGTGCCAGAATCCTAGTCTGCAATAGTTTCTTTTTCTGCAACACACACCAAACCACACTAAATAATTCATTATTTTCCTGAACCAGGGCAAGTATTTTTATGCAAACTTTCTTTTCACCTATAAATAGGATTGTTTGCATTTATATTCATTTTCCCAAACTAAGTGCTTCATCTAGATTTCTAAAACGTCTTTTAGATTGTTGTTAATCAAAATCTGCTGAAGCTGAATCTATATTAAAGATTCTGTAGACTGACCTTGGCTGGGTTGAACAATATGATTATAGAGAAAATAGTTTGTAGGTTAAAACTATAATTATCGGGCTATCTAAAATTTAAAAAAAAATCATTTACCTTAACTTCTGTGTTTGACCTGACAGTCTCATGAGTATTAGGCTAACTTCTAAGCTTAGCAAGCGTCTAGGCTGAATCAGTCCTAAAACATAAAATGTGATAACATCTGAAATTTATAGAAATGAATCCCTTGCTTTGCTGGAGCCTGCCTGTCTATTGTGGCAGAGAAAGTATTTGTTGAATGCATTTATTGCTGTATAAATTAGTTTTTTGTGTGCGATTTTTTAAATTAAAATTTTCATTTATTTTGCATACTGACCACAGTTTCCCTTCCCTCCTCTCCCTCATTCCCTCTCTGACTTCCCTTCTATCCCCCATCCACTCCTCAGAAAGGGGCAGGCTTTCCATGGGAGTCAACAAAGTAAGGCACATCAAGCTGAGGCAGGTAGTTTTGTGCATATAAAAGCCTATATGAAGTCTTCCACTGTGGCCCACATCATTTAGAATTACCAGTTGTCATGTTCTCTGCTTGTGACACCCATATTTGGCTCAGAATAAACTATTTCTTTGACTGTAGAACTGGTTTTGTTGTTGTTTTATTTTTTTTATTTTTACTTTTTAGAATTGTTTTTGTTTATTTGTTTTTATGTATGTGCATTTGTAAGGTATTTGTCTTTTCCTTTTCTTGGTGTGGTCCCATGTGTTTTTATTTGATTATTTCTCATAGCTATAAAATAATGCACATCTTATGTTGTTCATCTCTCGACTACATGCATGCACTCTAGAGCTTATATCAGAAAATAGACTAAAATTGTGTCATAGACCTCTCTTTTGGCAGATTGAGCCAAAGATGGTGTATGTCAACTGGAATTATTCTTTTGTTCACTCTGATTGCTGTACTTTGATCATGATCTGAGGGATTAAGAATCAAAAGACTGAGGAGGAAACCATGTCCACCACTCTTTCAGGATCCACCATTTTGCCTGAATTGTAACCAAGGTTTGTTTAATTACTTCCCACAGAGCAATTCACTAGAGGAACGGTGAGGAACAGGTTTGTATGACAGCAAGAATGAGAATAAAATAAGCTGATCAAGTTTATTATTTAGCACTAGATGGAGACATAAAGAATTTGGCAAGAAGAAGTAACATGGGATTTAACTAAAGAGGCCATTTTTTTCACCACCAGATAATAATTAATCCATCTAATCAGGTTTATTCCTATAATCAATTCTACTGAGAAACTCCAGATGTTGAAGTTAATTCTTTCACAGTCTTAAGGGATGTAATTCTTCAAATAAATATTTATTAAGTGATGGTTTAGAAGTATCTAGCGATACTTATCTAGTAGCTTCACATGTAGCATCTCACAGTTTTTCTTGTGATGCTAAAGTGATTCTTTCCTTCCCTCACCATGCACTTGTATGTGAACAAGCACACACACATGCATTCATGCACACACACACACACACACACACACACACACACATGCACCCATGCAAACACACAACATACAGTCCACACAGATTCAAGTTATTAACAACTTCAAGTCTCACAAATTTTGTTAAAATCATTAGCAAAAAGTTAAAAAGACATATTGAACCAAATCAAGAAAAATTTAAAAAGAAAACTATAGAAAGATCTTGCCTTAGCCTACATTAGAATACTGGAAATGCAATTTTTGTAAGGCAAGAATAGTTTACAAACAGCCTACTAAAAAGGGTTAAGAAGTAAATAGAACAAAAGTTAACATACACAAAGAACAGCTATTAAATATATTGAGTTAATAAATTATACATGAAATATAAAGCAAAATGGAAAGAAATACAAGATTAAGAGTTGAGAAAAACAAAACATTTAGATAAATGGTATAACTTAAATTTCTAATTTTGCTATATAAAAATAAATTCTTGCTGGACAGTGATGGCACATTTCCTTAACCCCAGCACTCAGAAGGTAGAGGCAGGTGAATCTCTGAATTTGAGGCCAACCTGGTCTATAGAGTGAGTTCCAGGATGGTCAAAATTACACAAAGAAACCCTATCTCAAACAAACAAACAAGCAAGCAAACAAATAGATGTCTACCTACTACTAGTATAGGAATAATATCAAATTATTAAAAATAGACCAATTATGTGAATATGTGAGAATTCGAGATTCATTAAACTGAATGCCATAATCTATCATTTTTGGCATTAAATAATCTTTTAAAACAAAGAGTGAAGGAACATGGTATACCAACAACATTTGCAGCAATGGCGATAGACAAAGAGCTTATGTTCCCAATAAATCAGTCACATCTCCTAGTCAGCAAGGGCACAGAATACTTTACTGAACACCCATCCAATTCAGAAAGGCAATTTTAACTTTTTCTCCTTTTTATTTATTTTTTAATTGTAACTTTCTACTGTGAGAAGTGCCCTCTCCACATGCACTGGGTAAGAGAGGAACAACATCTAAGTAGCTGGAAAGATAGGCATTTCATATCATTTTAAATCCTGGCGGTGACTATAAATCAAACAATGGAGTATGGTAGGGCTAGGAAGGCTGGCTATGGAGGCCTATTCCAGGAAAAGGACAGCAGAAGTGGGAGGATGTAGACACCTGTGTTGTACGGCATTCTCTAATTGAATTTGAGAAGAGCAAAGAGATGTATCTGAAAGCAGATGATCACTATATAGGCAACCATAAACAGTGGCTGAAGAGGCCCAATTTAAAATTCACGCTGCCATAAGAGGCTGCAAACTAACAACACAGAGGCTCAGCCTCACCATTACAATAACCTGGAAAAGCCACAGACTATACCCTGCGAGGGGCCAATCAGCATCGAGACAAAAACAAAAAACAACAACAAAAAACAACAACAACAACAAAAAAGAGTACTAGATGCTCCGGAACACTAAGAATAGCTTGATTAACCTGTGTATAGGTTGTCATTTTCCTTACAGCATCAATCCTTGTTTGACAAGACTTCTGTTGTCTCACTCCTGCCCAATCAGGAGTTCAACTCCCATCTGAATTCAGAATTCCCCTACCCACCCCCATCTGTTACTCCTTAAAAACCCCACTGCAGCTGAGCTCAGGGCTCTCCCTCATCCAGCTACTGTGTTGGAGTGGACAGAGAGCCCAGCTCAAGCTTGCAATAAAGGCTGTTTGCTTTTGCATATGAACTTGTACTCCTAGTGGTCTCTGGGGGACTCACAGCATGGGCACAAACATGGTTTACTGTAAGAATATAAGCAATCAGTTATTGATTTTATTTTATTAAAGGTCTGCTTCTGCTGATCGTTCTCCTACAATGTTATTATCTTTCTTGCTCTGGAATAACAATGGCTGTATATTATGCTGCTGTGTTCCTTTAGTGGGATTCTGTAGTATCCTTTTAGTAGTGTCTATGGTGTTCTCACTGAGGTCCCACCCAAGCTCTCCTTGCTTGTGATATCACTGCTGTCTTATGCTATCTAAATTTTCTCTTCTCTTCTGCTATGTGGTATTAGGGCTTAGAAGCTGGGGTGAGCTATATAGAAGTTATGTCTCTATCACTTACAAGTCATGAGGCCACCTGCCAGCAATTTAACACCCCTGAGTCATAGATTCCTATCTCCAAAAATGACCTCAGTACCATCTCCTATCTCATGACATTAAACGGAGGAACATGGTAATGTCCAGAAGGAGTACCTAGGAAGTGGTGCCTGTGGGAATTTACTTATAGAATGTAGACCTTGAATTGGAAGTGCTTCTAAGTGATGATTTT